AACGCCCCCCCCCCCTCAAGACCACTTCACGCCCCCCCCCAAACCCCGCTGGATGCCACACCATGCCCGGAGAAGCCCTCAAGAGCCAGGAGGCCACGCGGGCCAAGGACCCAGGCGTCCTGAGGACACCTGAGACAGGTGAGTGCTGAGGTTTCTCTTCCCTTCTCCATCTCAAAGGCGCACTGCTGAGTTGGCCAAAGGCGGCGGCGTGGGGGGGGGGAGGAGGGAAGGAGGGTTTTTTGTGGGGGGGCAATGTAAGCAAGGCACAAAGAGGGGGGCGGGGGGGTGGGGAAATGGAAGCAGGAATGGCAGGTTGGGAAACGTAGGGGCAGTTTTGGGGGGCGGGAGGGGCGGAGAATGTCTTCTCTGATCGGATGGTGGCTGGTTAGGCTGCCTGGATGTGGGGCAGAGCAGTTTTTTTTTGGGGGGGGTTCTGATGAGGGGCAGAACATGGAGAACGCCTGGGTTATTTCTCGGAAGGTGTGTGCGGCTGGATGTAGAGAAAGCAAGGAGACTCTCCTTTCCCCCCTCCCATTCTTAACGCGCCCCCTCCCTCCCTAAAGGCCCCTCTCCCTTATCTTCAACCCCCAAGCCCCAAAAGATATGGGGCTTAGAAGGGTCTGGCTATCTGAGGACGACACCCCTTCCCTAAGGCTGACCTCTCTTTTCTTTGGGGGGGGGGCAAAGCAAAGGACTTTCCTCCCCCCAATGCACAGATTGTGGGTAGCTCTGAAAAGTTTTCCCTTCTTTGTTTTGGGAGATCTAGTCATCGCTCCAGGGGGGCAGAGACCCTGGGGGGGGGACTTGATCTGTGTTTGCATTTTGGGGGGGCATAGTAACTTTCCCAAGCTTGGCTGAGAGGTAGGGAAGTGAGGCAGCAGCCACCCTGTCCATCGCTCTCTGGATGGGTGGGAAGGAGACCCTGCTGCTCTACCCACTGGTCATCACTGCCCTGCCTAATCCTAAGCGGCCCCGCAATAAGACATCACATCCCTTACGCTGCCCCACAGAGTAGCTCTTAAAAGCCCTTCATGGCAATGATATTCTCTGGGTGGCATCCTTGTTTGCACAGAAGAACCACCCCCAAAAGAAGGGGAGGTAATCTCCAGGTGTGTCAGCACCTTTCTGACACTCCTGGGTGCCATTTAGGGAGGGCGAGAGACCCCACCCCCCTGCTCAGGCTGCTGCTAATCCATCCCTTTGGATCCACCAGTATTTTCAGCCAACTCACTTGTTCTGCCCATCGGGGCTTATTGTTCCGAACTGTAAAATGGGCCCATGAAGTCGACCTGCGAGTCGAAAGCGCAAATCTTTCTATGGGTGGTTGGCTAGCTTGACCCGTGTCGGTTATGTGGGGCAGACCTGTGGGTTGCCTGCTGGATGCGGGAGAAAAACGAACCACAACAAATGCTTTTTTTAAAACGCAGAGCTTTGTTTCTTGCAATATAATGTGTGATGCGTCCAAGGAAGGGCCTTCGCAGCTTGTCAGCCTCTGCCCCCAAATCTCCTCCCCGCCCCCGCTTAAAAAAAAACCCCATGCAATGATGCCTCTGCTAAACCCAATTTAAATATATATATTTTAATCCATGCAAATTAAGGGCGATTGGTTTTCTCTTTGCCCCAACCTCTGGGATAATTGGCAGAGTCGCCTAATGGTTATGGCGCCCCTTTGTCCCCATAACCCAGAATCCGGATAAGAGTTTAAGGGCTGCAGGGATTGGTGGGGTTTTTTTTTGGGGGGGGATATCAGGTGATTGGGGTTTCCCCTTTGATTCTGCCAGACATAGAGGACATTGCCTCGTTTTCTGCTGCGTAATACTATGACTTGCCCCAAGACCTCGCCATAAGGCGGGACATTGTCGTTCTAAATAACTCGGCGTACCAAGGGTGAAGGCAAGAGACTGACCCCCCCTCCATCGTCTCTGCATCCTTACTCAGCAATAAATCCCACTTTAATACGATAGAACTGGAGAACAAAAAAACTATGAAGGGGATAGAAAGCTTATGTGATAAGCAGGTTTATACGCAAGTAAGTCTTTCTGGGTTCATCTGCGCTGGGTCACACCTGCAGGAAATCGCTCGTTTTAGCAACTTTAATGTGAATAAGCTGCATTTTTTTTTTAACGTCTCCTCCCACCCGCCTCTGATCTCCCTCCTTGCAATGTTTCTGTATGCAGAGATAGGAACATTCATTGGCAGCGGCCTTAAACTGAGTCAGAATCGCCGGTTGATCTAGCTCAGAATTGTTGACACTGACCGGCAGAGTTTGGGGCAGGGGAAATTTCCCCATTATCTAACCAGAGATGCCACTGGAGGTTGAACGAATGAATTTTATTATTACAGTCACAAACCAGTTTGGGGCCACTTACAATATCGGGAAAATCAGAAAACATACCAAGAATACATTGAATTGCAACTGGGTATAGCAGAGACAATTCAGATATAGGTAAAGGTAAAGGGACCTCTGACCATTAGGTTCAGTCGTGGCCGACTCTGGGGTTGCGGCGCTCATCTCGCTTTATTGGCCGAGGGAGCCGGCATCCAGCTTCCGGCTCATGTGGCCAGCATGACTAAGCCGCTTCTGGCGAACCAGAGCAGCACACGGAAACGCCATTTACCTTCCCGCCGGAGTGGTACCTACTTATCTACTTGCACTTTGTGGTGCTTTCGAACTGCTAGATGGGCAGGAGCAGGGACCGAACAACAGGAGCTCACCCCGTTGCAGGGATTCGAACCGCCGACCTTCTGATCGGCAAGTCCTAGGCTCTGTGGTTTAACCCACAGCGCCACCCGCGTCCCATACAATTCAGATATAGCGGCAGTTAAATCTGGATCACTAAAATATGACCTAAAATTATCATTTAAAACCTGAATCGTTTTGGTAGCACAGCTTGTTCCCTAAGTTTTATGGCACTTGCACAGAACTGGAGGTTGAACTTCCCATGTTCAAAAGAGACGCTCTGCCCCATTTTGTTACAGCCCTTCTCCGAGTCAAATAACTGGGATTCGGATAACCACGTTTGGTCGTCTTGCTGGTACTGAGCTCTCTCAGGAAGTGGAATGAGTAGATCCCGAAATTTGTGCCTACAGGAAAAAGAAAGGGGTGTGGCTATGCGGCCAGAAACTTGCTCAGTTCTCCGGGGGCTCATCTTTAAAATTTTATTGGGCAGCAGGGAGGAGAAGGAAGAGAAGCATGTGTTTGGGTTTGGCACATTTTTACTTACAAAAGCATCTTCGCCTGGTCTGAGTGATGCTTCCTGTCTTCGTTTGTAACTGTGTACTTGGCTTGCGGAAGGAAGTGCCTCCATCCCTGCCTACAGCTCCTCAAAGCTGTCCCCCATTGTTCTGCCCGGACGCTGAGGTCCAGCGCCGAGGGCCTTCTGGCGGTTCCCTCATTGCGAGAAGCAAAGCTACAGGGAACCAGGCAAAGGGCCTTCTCGGTGGTGGCGCCCACCCTGTGGAACACCCTCCCTTCAGATGTCAAAGTGATAAACAACTACCTGACATTCAGAGGACATCTTAAGGCAGTCCTGTTCAGGGAAGATTTAAATGGGTGACATTTTAGTGTATTTTTGGTCTCTGTGGAAGCCACCCAGAGTGGCTGGGGAAACCCAGCCAGATGGGCGGGGTACAAATAATAAATTATTATTATTATTATTATTATTATTAGTAGTAGTAGTAGTAGTAGTAGTATCCAAGGCCGGCAAAGTTTGGGAAGGGATGGGAGGCTTTGCATTGGGAATGTCAGGGTTCTGGTTCCTGGTCTCTCCAAATCAAAGCATTTCAGGTACCAGGTGATAATAATAATAATAATAATAATAGTTTATTTATACCCCGCCCATCTGGTTGAGTTTCCCCAGCCACTCTGAGCGGCTTCCAATCGAGTGTTAAAAACAATACAACATGAAATATTAAAAATTTCCCTAAACAGGGCTGCCTTCAGATATTTTTTAAAGAGAAGATAGCTACTTATTTCCTTCACATCTCAAGGGAGGGCGTTACACAGGGCGGGCGCCACCACCGAGAAGGCCCTCTGCCTGGTTCCCTGTAACTTGGCTTCTCGCAATGAGGGAACCGCCAGAAGGCCCTTGGGGTTGGACCTCAGCGTGCGGGCAGAACGATGGGGGTGGAGACGCTCCTTCAGGTATACAGGACCGAGGCCGTTTAGGGCTTTAAAGGTCAGCACCAACAGTTTGAATTGTGCTCAGAAATGTACTGGGAGCCAATGTAGGTCTTTCAAGACCGGTGTTATGTGGTCTTGGCGGCCGCTCCCAGTCACCAGTCCAGCTGCCGCATTCTGGATTAGTTGTAGTTTCCGGGTCACCTTCAAAGGTAGCCCCATGTAGAGCGCATTGCAGTAGTCCAAGCGGGAGATAACCAGAGCATGCACCACTCTGGCGAGACAGTCCGCGGGCAGGGAGGGTCTCATCCTGCGTACCAGGTGGAGCTGGTGGACAGCTGCCCTGGACACACAATGGACCTGCGCCTCCATGGACAGCTGTGAGTCCAGAATGACTCCCAGGCTGCGCTCCTGGTCCTTCAGGGGCACAGTTGTCCCATTCAGGACCAGTGAGTCCTCCACACCTGCCCGCCTTCTGTCCCCCCAAAACAGTACTTCTGTCTTGTCAGGATTCAACCTCAATCTGTTGGCCGCCATCCATCCTCCAACCGTCTCCAGACACTCACACAGGACCTTCACTGATGGGAAAGTCGTCTCTCTGGGGAGCCCCTCTCGGACTCTGGGACTACTCAGGACCGGGACCCAAACATGACCCTTCAGGCCCCTCTGACTGACCCTTGGGGCTCCCCCCCACACCACCAGCCCCTCTCCCCAGGCCACGCCTCTCACCTGCCCTGCTCTGTGCCCTCCTTGAACAATTTTACCTGTCTGTAATGGGTCTTTGAACTCTCTGAATTTGTCTTGCCTTCCTGGGTGGAGAGATGTCAGAGGGGTGTGGGTGTCAAAACTTCTGATTACTGTATGGCTGAAATATACAAAAGATAGCTCAGTTGGCTAGAGCATGGTGCTGTTAAGGCCACGGTTGCAGGTTCGATTCCTGGATGGGACAGTTGCATATTCATTCATTGCAAGAATGAATATTGGATTAGACCAAGGGTCAGCAAGCTTTTTCAGCCGTGGGCTGGTCCACCGTCCTTCAGACCTTGTGGGGGGCCGGACTATATTTTTTGGGGGGGAATGAACAAATTCCTATGTCCCACAAATAACCCAGAGATGCATTTGAAATAAAAGGACACATTCTACTCGTATAAAAACACACTGATTCCTGGACTATCCGGGGGCCGGATTGAGAAGGCGATTGGGCCACATCCAGCCCATGGGCCTTAGGTTGCCTACCCCTGGATTAGACAATCCTTAGGGTCCCTTCCAATTCTGCAATTGGACACACCCACTTCTGCCACTGACCCCACCCACTTTTGCCTCTGGACACACCCACCTTTCCCCTCTGGACACACCCACTTCTGCCACTGACCACATCCACTTCCCCCTCTGGACACACCCACTTCTGCCACTGACCACACTCACTTCTGCCACTGACCACACCCACTTTTCTCTCTGGACACACCCACTTCTGCCACTGACCACACCCACCTTTTGCCTCTGGACACACCCACTTCTGCCTCTGACCCCACCCACTTTTTGCCTCTGTACACACCCACTTCTGCCACTGACCACACCCACTTTTCCCTCTGGACACACCCACTTCTGCCATCGACCACACCCACTTTAGCTCTGGACACACCCACCTCTGCCTCTGACCACACCCAAATATGTTGTATGATATAATTTTTTTTGGAAATTCCATGTAAAAATTAATAAATATATATAGGTAAAGGTACCGCTGACCATTAGTTCCAGTTGTGGCCTACTCTGTGGTTGCGGTGCTCATCTCGCTTTATTGGCCGGGGGAGCCGGCGTACAGCTTCCGGGTCATGTGGCCAGCATGACTAAGCCGCTTCTGGCAAACCAGAGCAGCGCACAGAAACGCCGTTTACCTTCCTGCCGGAGCAGTACCTATTTATCTGCTTGCACTTTGTGCTTTCGAACTGCTAGGTTGGCAGGAACAGGGACCGAGCAACGGGAGCTCACCCCGTCGCGGGGATTCGAACCGCCCACCTTCTGATCAGCAAGTCCTAGGCTCTGTGGTTTAACCCCCAGCGCCACCCGCGTCCCTGTTTTGCATGGAGAAGGTTCAATTCCTGGTATTTCAATTGAGGGCTGCCTGAAACCCTGCAGAGAGGCTGCCGGCCTGTGCATGGACTTCACTGAGCTAGCTGAACCAATAGTCCGAGTATGCATAAGGCAGTGTCTGACATTCGTATGAAGCCGTTCCTTTCTGCCAGGCTGGTTTTTCTGTGTCAGAGATAAAGCTTCTCTTTCTCCCCAAATCTTCACCGACGTCCAAGGAGGGGTTGCCAACATTATCAGGTTTTTTCCTGGCAAGGCTCCTGTGCTTTGTGAGAAGTACATGGAAGGTGTCTAGACATCTAACAGCGGGTCATTTTCCTGGCTTGGAGATGCAGTGCAGTCTTCACAGACTAAAAATTCTACCTGCTTTTTTTTGGGGGGGGGAGAAGATGGAGAAGCAGAGGCTCTCCTCTTACACACACAAACACATACGTTGGCAACTTTACTCCTGAGCCGCTACAGCTGAACCTCTACTCCCCTTTTCCAGCATTCTGTATCTCCCTCCTTTCCCTCAGTTCTTATGGGGGTTACCAGACAATGTTGTTGTTGTTTAGTCGTGTCCGACTCTTCGTGACCCACTGGACCAGAAAACGCCAGGCACTTCTGTCTTCCACTGCCTCCCACAGTTTGGTCAAACTCATGCTGGTAGCTTCGAGAACACTGTCCAACCACCTTGTCCTCCGTCATCCCCTTCTCCTTGTGCCCTCCATCTTTCCCAACATCAGGGTCTTTTCCAGGGAGCCTTCTCTTCTCATGCGGTGGCCAAAGTCTTGGAGCCTCAGCTTCAGGATCTGTCCTTCCAGTGAGCACTCAGGGCTGATTTCCTTCAGAATGGAGAGGTTTGATCTTCTTGCAGTCCATGGGACTTTCCAGAGTCTCCTCCAGCACCAGAAATCAAAAGCATCCATTTTTTGGCGATCAGCCTTCTTTATGGTCCAGCTCTCACTTCCATACATCACCCCAAAATACCTGACCAAAATAACAGCATCCCATTAGGCCATTGCATTGAGGCTGTCTGAAAAGATCCTCAACACCTGTCGCTGAAAACAGCCAGGTATTGCTTCTCTCTTGATCGACGCTCCTGCTTCCTTCCCTCTGCTTGTTTCCGCTGTGTTGAGCTTTTTAGATTGTAAGGTCTTCGGGGCAGGGACCTTATCCTCTGGGCAGATCCACAGCACGACCAACATGCATTTACAGCACTTTGCTTCCCCCCCAGAGAATCCTGGGAACTGTAGTTTGTTAGCGGTTCTGCAAAGTGTAGCTCTGTGAGTGGGAAACTACATTTCCCAGGATTCCTTGGGGGGAGCAAGCCAAGGGGTTTAAATGTGTGTTTGGATGTGTTTCAGATGCACAGTGTGGGTGGCCAATTTGCAAGCATGTGGATGGTGCTAGCTGCAGAGACATAATAATAATAATAATAATAATAATAATAATAATAGATAAATAAATAAGGGGTGGAACTTCTCATTCAGGAAACTAACTCAGAAATAAGTCCCGTTCAGTTCAAAGGGGGGTCGCTTCCAGGTAAATGAATATATTAAGGGTACATAGAGCGATAACTTTAACAATAAAATACACCCCATATTTTTCTCCCCGCCCTTCCTCCTTTCAGGGCTCCACCCCCCCAGATCTCCCCCCCCCCTTTTGCACTGATCTTGACATCAGCAAAACCGAAAGCAGACTGAGTCATTCTATTGTTCGCCTCCCCTCCCCGCCATGTGTCAAACGAGCTGTCTGCCTCAAAACATCTTTTGCAAAATTAAATTAAACTCCACTTGGAAGTTAGATTTAATTTAATGTCTGCTGGGTGCCTCGTTTGAAACGCACGGCCAAAGAGAAACACAAATGTGCTCCCGGGATGGAGGGGAAAAGGGGGGCAGTCCGTGATGTCACAGGCCCTGGCCAATTAGTGCTGTGCACAGCTGGCGTCTGCCTTGGGCATACAAAGCCTAGGCTGAATCCTGCAGGGACGATTGTTAGATATGAATGGAGGGTGGAGGTCTTCAGTGTTACCTGCCTGTTGTCTTTATTCATGGAAACAGTGCTGCTCTGTGCTGGATTTACGTATAAGCTATAGCTTAAGGTAAAGGTAAAGGGACCCCTGACCGTTAGGTCCAGTTGAGGACGACTCTGGGGTTGCGGCGCTCATCTCGCTTTACTGGCCGAGGGAGCTGGCGTACAGCTTCCGGGTCTTGTGGCCAGAATGACTAAGCCGCTTCTGGCGAACCAGAACAGCGCACGGAAATGCCGTTTACCTTCCCGCCGGAGCGGTACCTATTTATCTACTTGCACTTTGATGTGCTTTCGAACTGCTAGGTTGGCAGGAGCAGGGACCAAGCAACGGGAGCTCACCCCGTCGCGGGGATTCGAACCGCCGACCTTCTGATCGGCAAGTCCTAGGCTCTGTGGTTTAACCCGCAGCGCCACCCACGTCCCATAAGCTATAGCTTAGCCCCCCCCCAAAAAAAAATTAAAGGGGGGGGGAACTGGATGTACATTTCCAAAATATAAGATAAAAGACAAATAAAATAAAACCTACATAGAGCAACAGTGTTTTGTGTTGTGTAGGCTCCTAAGATGTAAGTCATGGGCCCCGCCTGCTTGCCTGCTCCCTAAAATATCACTGGTTTGCTCTTTTCTATATATAGGGTGCCTACATTCTGCATGGACTGGTTGCAGGGCAACATGTGCAAATGGCTTGAGATACGTATGAGGTCCGTAAATTACCATATAGCATTTATTCAACACAAAAAACAGCGACAATTGTTTGTTGACAAAGGACAGCTGGACATATCAAGGGCCCCATTACCTTCAGTAGCTTAGGGCCTCATCAAACCTCAATCCAGCCCTGAGTTTGGGATAGTGGTTAGAGTGTTGGGTGCTCGCTTCGGCAGCACATATACTAAAATTGGAACGATACAGAGAAGATTAGCATGGCCCCTGCGCAAGGATGACACGCAAATTCGTGAAGCGTTCCATATTTTTACAAGATCTACCCACTCTGGAAGAATGGCAGATGAAGGTGATTGACTACATGGAATTGGCAGAAATGACTGGCAGAATCCGAGACCAGGGAGAAGAGTCGGTGAAAGAGGACTGGAAGAAATTTAAAGACTATTTACAGAAATATTGTAAAATTAATGAATCTTAGAAGGATGTTGGATAGAAACTAAGTGGTTTCCAGCTGTAATGCTTTAAGAGATATGAAAAAAGGTTCACAAATGGGTAAAAGCTTAATGGTAAGGATTTGCTGAACTAACAAACTGAACTGGAATACAAAAAAGGGAGGTACGAGGAGGTCTGGGGAAATAAGTGTAAGGAGGATATGCTAGGGAAAATTAATGTGTTTTTAACTGTTTTTATTTTGTATGTTTCTTTTTATTTTTCATGGGAAACAAGGATATGAATGTAAGTTATGGAAAGATGGATCTATTTTTCTTTTTCTTTTTCTTTTTCTTTTTAAGGGTTTTTTATTCTTTTTTCTGTATTTTGTATTTTCTTGTATTTTTACTTTTTGTTTTTGTGTAATTCTTGTATTCGTTGAAATTTTAATAAATATCATTTAAAAAAAAAAAAGTGTGTTGGACTAGGACGAGGTCTTGGGAGACCTGGGTTCGTATCCCGCGGCAGCCACAAATCTTGCTGGCTGACCTTGGCGGCCAATCACTGCCTCTTGGCCTAATATACCTCACAGGGTTAGTTGTGAGGATTAAATGAGGAAGGGGAGAAGCATGAACCCCACCTTGAGCTAAAAACATTTCTGTTTTGTCTAGCTGTCAACTGTTCCCTTTTTTAAAGGGAAATTACCTTATTCCGAATAGGATTCCTCACAAGAAAAGGGAAAAGTTGACAGCTATGCCA